GGACAACTGTCGTCTTTAGCGCGATATTTCGAGTGAAAAACGCCATTACTCATGGACCGGCCCAATAGTATTACCTCGCCGCTCGGCAGCCGGCAACTCTTGGCAGAGGATGTGCACAGCTCTTCGGGCCTGTGAGGTCCAAAGGTGCGGAGAAATGAACTCCGATTCCAAGATTCTTATCTAGTCCACTCGCTCCTCTACATACTGAGAAAAAGAACATTATTACTCAGGAACATGCGGAGAAGCTCATCCTATGTTTGTTATGATATGCCAAAATCTCACGGAGTGTGAAGTGGATCTTTAGCCACATTGCGAACTGATTCTGCCCTAGGTCACTAGAAATGAGGTCCTCTCTCAGTGCTTGGTGGACTAGCGTGAGATACATTGGTTAGGACAGCATCGAGTGTAGTGCGCTCTTGTAGGACAACTAGCACTTATAGCATTATTTACCGACTCCTCCCAATAGCATATCAAAGGTGATCTTATGGAGATCTCCCCTCATGGGACTCTGTAACGATGCGCACTTTTATTTTCAGAATGATATCAAAATGTGCATATTTTTGAAAAAGGAAGGTAATAGAGCTGTTGAGAAGGAGGCCTAGATAAGACCCCCTGGGGTGAATGCTATGTTACACTTCAATTGATTGCAAATTCCTTTATCAAGAACACTACATTTGATTGACGGATACACAGTCGAGGTGAAGGCGCTCAATAACCTGGAGGCAGTGCGAGGAGGTGGGCAGTGGTCGCAGCCTCCTGGAGCTCCACCGTCACCGTCTTCTCCATCAGTTCCGTCGCCTCCGGCTGTCCTGGACCACCAGGCTGTCCATTGTCTCCTGGCTGTCCTGGTGCACCATCTTGTCCTGGGTTTCCAGGTGCTCCTGGCTGACCATCGGGTCCAGGAGGTCCTGGAGGTCCAGCTGGTCCAGGTGGTCCCTGTGAGCCGGGAACTGTGGTGAGTTGTCCTGGAGGCTCCTGGCGATCCAGGGTTTCCAGGCTGACCATCGTTTCCGGGTGGTCCTGGTGGTCCAGGCTGACCTGCACCTCCTGGCTGTCCAGGATTTCCTGGCTGGCCATCTTGTCCTGGGTTTCCTGGTTGTCCCTTGCCTCCTGCGGTTTCCAGGTGGACCTGGAGGACCAGCAGGGCAGTTGAAGCATGGAGCAGGAGGGTTGGGAGGTGGTGTTGCTGGTGGGCCATCGGGTCCATCTCTACCAGGCTGACCAGGCTGACCATCTGATCCAGGTTGTCCATCTTGTCCAGGAGGTCCAGGGTGGTCCAGATGGAGAAACACCACATCCACAGCATCCACCGCGAGCCTGACGGGCTTTCCTTGTGGATCCAGCGAGTACCTGAAGTTAAGGAATTACCTGATTCACTGAAATTTTTGGAGAAGTTCAAGTGTGAAACTCGCCTGAGTACGGGTCACTTCTCTCCAGATATTTCCAGAGCGGGATTTGCAGAAGTCGACTTCGTTCTGCATGACCGACTGCATGTGCTGCATGTAGTTGTAGAGCATTGGCACGGAGATCACGCAGATGAGTGTGGCCACAGTCGAGAAGGTCACACCGAAGAAGGCGATCCTCCTGTGAGAGACGGCCTGTGCTTCCCAGTACTTCAGGTCGTTGGTCATGGTGGTGTCTCTTGGCAGGGAATTTGCCACTTTTATAGATTGTTCACTCCAGGCGTCCCCGAGCGATTCCCTATCTCATTGAAACGATTAATTCGTTCTATGCGTTTCGATTCACTAGTCGATAGTAAATTCAAGGTTGTGATCCTCAGTAGACAACGGAGGGTGGAGTTCAGAAGGGCTCCATATGTTTTTTGACGAAAACTTACTGCGATGAAAAACCGCTCTTCAGAGTAGAAATACCAAGTCAAATGGAATTTCCCAGAGTGCCCGTACTGGAGTGGAGGGGGGGGGTTGTTCCGACTGCTGGTGCGACACACCGCTTCCTGAGGACAAATTCAGGACGAATCATTGCACATCGTTGTTGGGGATCCCAAAACAGGGGGGTCGTATTTGGTCCGAGAAATAATTTTTTGATAGTTGATTTTTCTTGTCAGAGGCACGGTATAAAGGGTGGAGGGGGGTATTTGTCCATGGTTCGAAGTGGGGTCGTATGGGCTGCGGGCTTTTTGAAGACGTTGTTAATTTTTTCTTGTGTTTTCCTGTTTCATATGTTCCTTACAAACTCCTCCCCGCCATTTGACAGTAAAATTTTCGGGAAAATGTAGGAAAGTTTTCGAAAGTTCCGGACAAAGTGGTGGGAAGTTAGGAAAACCGACGAAAGTTGTAGGGGGACGGAGAAGAGGGGAGTCGTACCAATTCCGTCAAAAAAAAAGGGGGGGGGGATCGTCCGGTTCGACCAAAATCCTCAAATAATGATGTGACAAGTTCCACTCGAGACGCTTGAACATTTCAACGTTCCTTTATTTACGAAAGCCTCAAGAGAGACCATTTAATGAGGGCAAGATAGAGAATTCCTTGCCACTTCGAACACTCTTCTGGGTCGGTGGCGACAGATCATTTTGAGAAGGCACCCTTACTTCCTAGACGGCTCTACTTCCCTAATGCAGTATAACTTGAGTTACTGCTGTTCCGGAAAAGTTGGATTATGGGAAGGCTTTCTCAAAAACGTTGGACCATTGGAGGATGTAATATTTACTCCTTTTTCCACGAATTTAAGTATTAGGTTGTCCGGAAAGGAATGCGCGTTCGAGCTTAAAAAATTTTTTATTATAAAAACGAAATTAAACAAGATAAATTCAAAAGACAATCTCCATTAGTATCAATGACTTGTTGTCAACATTTATGCAAAAAATGGATTCCTCTTCTGAAGAACTCGACCGGCTGCGACTCAAAGAAGTTGGACACCCAGAGTTGGACCTTTTTCGCGGTTTGTGAATTTTCTCTCGGCCAGGGAGTTCTGCATCGACCGGAACAGATGGTAATCGATGGTGCCAGGTCTGATCTGTGTGGCGGATGAGGCAGGACTTTCCAGCCCAATTCCTCAATTTTTTTTCTAGAGTGATTTTCGCCACATGTGGATGAGCGTTGTCGTGGATAAATTTTGTCGACGTCGTTTCGACACTTTGAAGACGCAGTGCTGGATCCATGCGGTTCAATGGTGTTTGCAGATGTCCGCCGTAACCGTCTGACCCGATTCCGGAACTTCAAAGTACATCAAACCTTTGCTATTCCACCAAACACGGAGCATCACCTTTTTGCCGCGTATATCAGGTTTCGGAGTCCGTTTTGGAGGGTCACTGGAGTCTAACCACTGTCCTTTTCTCGTTGCGTTATCGAAGCAGACCCTTTTCTCATTTGATGTAATAATAGAGTCGAAAAAACCGCTGTTCTTGGAGCGACGAAGAAGAATTCCGGCCATTGCCACTCGTGTTGCCTTGTTTGCGTCGCTCAGCTGGTGCGGCACCCGCTCTTCCCAACTTTTTTCCCCAAAAAAGCAAAGTAGACATGGACAAAAATATATCAAAAGAAGCACAATAAAAATCTCTTTCTAATAGACAAAACTGTCTCCAAAAATCTTCTATAGTAGGAGAGAAAAAAATGGACAAGTTCAAAAAATTCAACGCGCATTCCTTTCCGGACAACCTAATAATTCACCTTGTCATCCGAGCGCTACCCCCGATTGGTCCATCCTCTTCCTTTCTTTAGTAGCTCGGTAGAAGCCTTTCTCCATCCATCTAATCCCTGACCTCAATGAGTCGGCGGTTTGTACATTGACACGGAGTTCTTCCTCTAATGTTTGAGCGCTGTTGTACCTGAAAAATTTGAAATAACTTATCACTAATATCTTGTTGTGTGATGTGCGTGAATAGTAGTGGTAGGAGATGTTTCTGCTTCACGCACGGTCCGCAGACCAATTCTCATCAAAGGCAATCAATGGTTGATCCATCAGTGGCTATCGAGATTGTCCATAGGGACACTAATAGAAAATGGGGCTTTTCTTACTTATGAGCCCCTTCCCAGGGTGCACCACACATTCCACTTCCATCCAAGATCGCAGTAGCTTACTGATACCGGTCTGACCTATAAAAATAACTTGCGGAGCTTCGCGGAAATTCGCCGGTCCTGGAGGGACACGAGGCTCAGGGTCATCGCGGGAGCCAATCTAGCACCGGACCCCTGGACCACGCATCAAAGAAGGCTGCGTCCATACTTTGCGGCAGCGTCCACCAGCGGCCACTAGCGTTCCGAGCGTCCGGCAGCGTCAGCGACTAGGAAAGTATAGGTATCGAACTAGCGACCAGCAGCGTCTACCAGCGTCCACCAGCTAGCAGCAGGGTTCGGACCTGGAGAGTATTGAACGGTAGGAAAGTTACAGACAGCTGCCAGAGTGTGGGAGATAGGATGTACCAGGTGCCCGGTCCATTTTTTCATTTTTGATATATATGTCTCCTAGCTCAAACTTCATATCTTTATTCCAAGTGTCAATGCATTAACCCAATTGTCGAGATAATTACAGTAATCTCATGCTCGTTCTTTTACCTATGCAATCTCTTACCTTATTGGCACTTTGCAAGGCTCACCACTCACTCTAAATTCTTTTTCGCAGATCTAAGTCAATCCAGTGTTGGGAACGGTAGGGTTATGTAGCCCAATCAAAAGCATAATCCATCTTCAGCGCGATATCCTGAGCATTATTGAATGCAGATTACTCGAATTGAACCACAGATAGCGAGAAACGAACGAAACGTTCGGGTTTTCAGCTTTTTCTTTGGGCTCTGCCTATACACCGCTGACCAGTGGCCAACTGATTTCTGTCTGACGCATAGTCACTGGTAAAAAGTTCTCATATTAGCCTCCTCGGCCTATAATGCGATTCATTCGGCGGCGGGTGAGCGTCACATGCAATTGTGCTTATAATTCGACAGGTTCCCTAATCATCGCCAATGGACTGAGAACAGTGAAGCGGAAGAAATTTTGGGACCTTGCAACTTACAAACGTTACGTTCGCTTAAAACGACCTTGGAAGTAGATCCCACCTCCTCATTCGCTCATACCATTTTCTTTTCCCATATTTTCTGTGGAAAAGAGGCGATTTGCGGATATCTTTTTCCTGTTTCTGAATAATTTTTGTAGGAAGAAATCAGTCGCTTTTTTTCTTCTTTTTTTCAGGAAGGGTGAATCGTGCCCTTTTCCTCATGGAAAGCAGGTTTCGCCGCAGCATTTAAGTACCAGATTACTGAAGGTATAGAATAGTAAGTTTGAGAGCTGTTTTTTATTGAAAAACAATTGCAATTTCAATATGGTTTATTTCACATATTTTCTATTCAGAACCTTTTCCGATCCACGGGCGGAGGACTTGAAGAAGGGCTTGCATGGAGCGTTGGAAAAGTGGCAATAGTGCACCGGCGTACGCCATGTATCGGTCATTTTTCCGAAATTGCAGCAGATTTCAGATTTTATCTCATATATGATCTGAACCAACCAATGTTGAATAGAAGCTCTTGTACTTTCAGGAAAAAAGTTAGTGTCTATAGTTTCCAAGGGACTGAATCCTGAGTGGGAGTCTCTTGTCAACGACAAGACCAGGGCAAGAGGTTTTATCGCAGCAAGGCATCACCGTTTGAAGCTCACAAGACCCTCCCGAAAGAAGCACTTTCCCGAATTTCCAGCCTACTGAAGCGCAATAAAGTGAAACGACTCAGCTCAGCATTCAAATGAATAGCAGCTATTCGGCTTGAAGACAGCCACCATTCTTTACTGCACCGAAACTAAACGAGAGTGAGCCCATGCCGCTTAGAGGACGCTCGATGTGCTGATGCACTAGCTTTGACTTCGCCACCTTTCCTGTCCTGCTCGACCTAACCAGAATTACTTCCTT